TAATAATAATAATAGGTAGAAGCATGGGTAGCCTGAGGAAGAGACAGCGTAAGAACTTAAACAAAATAGACTTAAAATGAACCTTATCCTGAGATGAGTGTTTGATTTGTATTTAAAAAATTCATTTGTGCAGAATTTATCCTTGAATTGTAGTCTCTTGCTTGTGCCTGTGGTCTTTGTGTTAGTTGTAGAAGACAGAAAATAAAATCAGTGAATGCAGTCAGTCCATTTTTCTGTAAATAAGTTTTAAGATAAAATGTTCCTTTTTTTTTTTTTTTCAAGTATCTATAGGTGCAAACTGTGTACAGGTACTGATAGTGAGTCGGAGGTGCTGATGTTTTCCAAAGAGAATTGTACAAACAATGAACTTGAAGAAATAGTAACATTATCAAATGTTAAGTCTCCAGCCATGCTTTTGGTTTCAGAGAATTATTTCTGCAAAGGAAGGATTTTCCTTTTATATTGGGTGAAAAAGAAACACCTTTTACCCTGTAATATTTAATGACGGTAGCTATCTCCTCTTGTTTAGATTAAAATTACAGGCCTCAGATTGCAAGTTGTAATATTTGTTTTCTTCTGATTGCTGCCTTTAGCTCCTCAGTAAATGCCATTGACTGCTCTGTGGGTAACTCCGAAGAAGCCTCCAGGGCTGAATATATTAAAATCCACAGAATTCCACGATTGACAAAATGACAAAATTCTCCCCAAATTGCCCCCACAATTTTCCACTGGCCTTCTTTTTGAGCTGCAGGCAAAGGAGGGTGATCTGTTGTGCTTGTCCTATTCCTGTTTTTCTTCCTGTTTTAAATATAGCGGAATATATAAAATAATTAAGTGGTATTCAGAAACAATTCTTTTGCCAGGTCTTCCATCTGTTATTCTGTATAATCCTAATTTCTGTACAAAAAAACAGAACCATGGTATGCAACTCAATATGTTACAAGATGTTTATTTTCATTGGCGCGGTCCAATAAAATACATAGCTCAAATGTTAACATTGGAGTATGTTAAGATTTCATTACTATTCGATCTATATATTTTACTGACATAAATGGATAAAAATAAACAGCTTGTAACATATAGAGTTACAGTCTATGCTTTTGTGGATTTACAGAATTCTGTGGTGGATTTGGGTTTTGCAGCAGATTTATTTTCTCTAATTCGGTTAAAATAACTATGTAATCATTATTTGTGCTGAGTATGGTTCAAGCTTCATTTTCATAATTCACCGTGGGATTTGTCTGCATAACTTCTGACGGTTAATGACCCTGTATTGATTGAGATTCTCTTTTGTGAGGCCGTATTGCTTATGACTTGATAATGAATCAGTCAGATCACTCCATTTTAGAGAGAAAGAAAACAGACATAGTGTTAACTTAAGGAAAAAAAAAAAAAAAAAGGCACCCAAAGCTTTGCGCGCTCTATATATTCAGTAGGGGCTTTTATAGTGCTTGTAGTACATGCTGTTCTGAAAGTGTCACACATGCATTTGTTGTTGTGAACTCAAATGCTGTAGAATCTGTAAAGATGCAAGATTAAATTTTCCATTGCCGTTTTTACAGATAACAGCCCGTCGACAATGGAAACATATTTATGATGAATTAGGTGGTAACCCTGGAAGCACAAGTGCTGCTACATGTACTCGCAGACATTATGAAAGGTAAGATAACAAATCTGAAATGCTTGTTTAATAATGAAAAAATTAATTTGGAGAGCCTTCAAAGCGTTTTATAAAGAATTAGAGAACGAACGAGAGGGAGAGAGAGGGACTTCTTAAAGATATAGTAAATATTCCCCAACAGTTTAGTCAGATAATCCATTGTAATTTAAACCAGAGTGTATGTCTCTGGTGACTAAATAAATAAAACACGTATCTGATTTTTCTTTGGTATATATCTTAATTTTTACAACAGCTTTCCGGTTAAAGAAACTGAAAAATTGAGCAAAATATACTCAAGGAAAAATAAGAAACGACAGCTAATTGATGCAAACACTTGTCTTCTGTCGTTTTTTAGGAACACCAATTAAGCAAATTGTGGTTGTGATCTAAATAATGGGGTGGCCCACAATGCAGGGTGCTGTTAGTGTTGTAGGTCATGCAGAGCATTGCATTCCTCTTCTTCACGCATTCCTTCCCTCCTCCCTGCCTGCAAGCTGCTGCCAAACTCTCTTTCTCTGCAGCCATTGTTGCTGGTCAGAACTGTTGATTTCTTATTCTTCCCATGTAGATAATAACTTCCAGGGCTTGTGAAGCCAGCACGCATTGAATAAAATACTGGAGCTGGAATGTTGTTTTGGTTTGGTATGGTTTTAAGAAACATCTCTCTTTTTTTTTATTTTCCTTTTTTTTTCCTCTCCTTTTTTTTCTTTTTTTTTTTATTATCCACTCCCCCCCTGCCCCCCGCCCCTTAGACAAGCAAATATTAATAAAAGCTTTGCAATGTCAGACTCAGATAAGGAAAGTCCAATCCCTTGTTCCTGGGCATAAACAAGTTGCTTTGCTGGGATTGGGAAGAGATTGTCCGTGCCTGTGCACAAGGCAGCACAGCAGAGCTGTGCTCAGTGGGCAGTTTTTCATCTTCTTTTAGTGCCTCACATGTTGTCCACTCCAAGGCAGACACTGCCCTCCTCATCGAGGAAGAGGTTGATCACCCTCATTTACAGGAGACGTCTCCAACATAAGGACTTGGGTGCGCAAAGAAGTTGCATGTAATGCCACTGTAAAAGTTAGAGTCAGAAGCAAGCAGCAGAGCAAATTGAGCGAGTTGATATGTGTGTCAGAGAGGCCTTTTCCCTGCCTTTGCTTTGTGGACAAATGTAATAGATTGTTAATTGACTTATGAGATTGTGGATATTTGGCTCTTCCCCTCCATCATTGCAACCCCGAGAGTCTCAGGGTTTCCTCTTGCACCCAAGCCAGCTGATGGGTTTCAAAGTGGCAGCTGGGATCTTCCCTCACCAGATGTGCTTTGTAGGATGTTGTTTATTTGACAGAGGAGACTGAGGCACGCATGAGAGTTAGAACTCAGTGAGTTTAGGTAGCACAAGGGAGCAAGCGTTGCTGGGCTCTGTGTTGAAATCCCAGAGTCACCAAGAGAGTGCACCTCTTGTAGTTATGGAAAAATAAATGAGCCATTCACAAATACTCCATGAACCCATCTCTCTCTTCTGCTTTCATGCTAGTGGTTTGTATTTTTACATGCAAAACCCTTGAATTGCACTCCTCTTTGATGCATAGAGTCTTGTCCATGTAATTTACTCAGCAGTTACTCAGGGGTATGCTACGAAGTGCCACAAAGCCCATTGTGCTCACTAGAAAACCTGAGCAGACTCATGACTCAAGATTGAAAAGCCTTTCCAGGCTACCCAAAAGCCGTTCTGCTTGCCTTCAGCCAGTCTGAGGAAAAAGCCTTTTAGTTTATGGTTAGGTTGATCTTAGCACACCGAGAGCTCAAATCTGAGTTCTTGGATGCCAGTTTGTTGTGTAGTTCTGGATTAGGTCTGATATGGAGCAGCATCTGTTTTCCAGGTCTCTGGTAGACTGTCGAAAGATGACATTTGGAGGAAAAGTCATGTAAGATTTTTAGGTTAGCCCCGAGCTTACCTAAAGTGTGCTTTACCAAATCTGGTCTGAAACGCCAAAATGTGTATACAAAAAAAACCTCAGTGACTGGTCCAATCTCTAGATTTCTTGTGTTAGACACTTCTTTTTCCACCACAGGGAAGCTGTATTAAGCCTCAGACTTGGAAAAAAGAAAATGAAATTGTCATGGTTTGTTTCAGCTGGTAATTCTAACTACAGCACCTGTAAATGTAATGCTCATTTATAGCCAAAGTGCTTAGATGACATTTAATCTAAAACTAGAACTGCAGTGCAGGAATACACATTCATGATTCAGGACACACATACATTTTCTAACTAGAAGGTGAGCTGTAAAGCTAAACTGGAAATTGAATTAAGCTGGGAAGTAAATGCTGAATAAACCTCATGATTTTTCCTTTCTGAATCCCACTGGCCTTTCCTTGCTTACTGGAGGCAGAACAGGCAGTTCCCTGACTTCACTGATCCTGCTGCTGTTTGACTTAGCCTTGCCATTCATCTCTACAACTAGATCTCAAGGGCATCCGTGTTGTGTTAACTAGCTTTCTTCCAAGATGACAGAGCAGCTACTAGCTGTTTGCACCCGCCTTAGCATACCAAGGCTGCTTAGGTGGCAGCAACCTTTCAGTGACATCCTTCAGATGCTGAGGAGTGGAATGGCGCATGTGTCCCATCCAGGTACTGCATCCCACCTTCCTGCCCTCTCCCACGTTCCTCTCTGCAAGGTGGAGTTTCACACGCAAATTCAAAGGGCAAGAAGAAAACAAAAACAAAAGAAATGGAGAGGGCAGAATTACCTCTCTTTATAGCAAATCCCATGAAAAATGTTGCTATTCTCCAGAGGTGCTTATAACCTCTAAAAGGCCAGCATGTTGCTGCAGTCCCATGGTACCTACCAAGGATGGCAAAAGCTGGAAGAAGGCCAGGTTTAAAGGCTGGGGAGAATGCTTTGGTCCCCCTCTCTGCACCTCCCTGTGTGGAGCAGGGGTTGTGGTGGTTGCTGCTGCTGTGCCATAGGTAGGCAGAGTGCTTCTGTTGCATGGCGTTTGCTTTGTTTCCCTGGTAAAAGATAAAGAAAGATTTTGTGTTCGTTATCAACTGATTCATTTTTCATGTAGTACGGTTTCTGTTTCCAGTAACTGGTTTCATTTTAAAACGAGGCGCGGCTGCCAGCGTTTCAGTAAGTGTTATTTGTATATTAGTTAGACGACTTTTGTTTTATTAATGAGTATAATAATGAAAGTGCAGGTTGCTGAGTAGAAGCAATGGGTGTTTTTATTTAAAGCATAGCAGGCATCGTATAATGCCAATGAATGCGTTATTGTCACTGTAGGCATGGCTGGTCTGACCCTGCCTCTGATTGGGTTACTCCAAATAGGCCCAAGCACTTCATAAAAATGTCTTTGTCAGCCTAGTTTTCCTTCCAAACCTATTCATCTCTGTCAGTTTTTAATATTAGTACCAGGCTCTTGGCTATAGTCCATTAGTACTGTACTTAATTGCTCATGTTACAGATGATTACCAATACAAAAAGCATTAATGTTTTCCCATCGTGAGGCTGTTGCTGTGTGCACCGATTCGGACCATACAGAGCTTATGAGTTGTTGTTGTTGCTTCTGCTGTTGTTTTGGTCGTTACTTTCTTCATTTGTGCTCCTTTAGTGCACTTACTTTGCATGATCACAGCAAGCGAGAAGCGTGCGTGGTTGGTATTAGCTGATTCAGCTCAAACCTTCCCTGTGAAACTCTTCGAGCCCTTGTCAGTACCCTACATCTCGCTCTCTTATCAAGAAACCCTCAGAAACGGCTACTTTTCGCCGAAGCACTCTTCCCCATGCTGCCTTCCCCTAATAATGCAGATGTGGTTTTCACATGCAGAGTTTGAGGTTTCTTTCGCTTTTACACAAAACACATGATCGGCAGCTTTAATTTTCCGGCGTGAACGATAGGCTGTGTTTCTGCAGTGCTGATGACGTTGTCGTTAGGGATTTTTCATAAATACTACACCACCACCACCCCCCAAAAAAAACCCAACCAAACAAAAAAACCACCCAACTGTTATTTCACGAGGTATAGAAAGTTCCAAATAAAATTATTGAACAAAACAAAAATAAGAGTAGTTGCCTGTTGGGGCCTTTTTCTGCCTCCAAGTCTGGCTGTGATTCATCTTGGTTTCCTCCAAAGCGAGCCTTGTGCACGAGCTACGCACAAACATGCACGGGCCAGGGAACTGTGGTGTGCAATGACGTGCAGTAACACTCCTCGGCTGCTTTGGTGGACAGACGTGTCAGTGTTGGAAGGTGTCGTGGCAGGCAGTGGGACAGTCCCATAGGACAGTAGCCCTCCTGGCCTCTTCAGGTGCTACAGGGAGTCTGGTTCCCTTGGGGTGTCTGGCAGGGATGGGCTCAGAGCATCCCAGGGGCCGTGTCCTGCTCTTCAGCAGTGCGTCTCATATCCTGACCCTCACGAGCCACTGGTGCCTTGAAAACCAGACTGTCCTGGTCAACCCCAGCTGGAGAGGGGTTTATTAGGCTTCATGCTTTCATCACATTCAGGCAGCTGAGTGGGGAAGTGTTCTGCAGAGCCACAACCACCCGGAACTTGATGAGGAGCAGATAGGTGAGATGGGTCCCCAGAGCGGGTCGTGGTTCTTCACAGTCGGGCAGGGTGGCTGTGCCCGCGCTTTGGACACAGACATGCAGAGGGGTTTGTTCTGGCTGTGAGTGTGGCTCCTGGGCACTTGCAGAGCACCCCGCGCGTCTGTCCCTTACCAGTGGACTAAGCCCCAGGAGATAGTGTCTTGCACAGTTCAGAGCCTGTTCTGCCATTTTTCCTAGAATCATAGAATGGTTTGGGTTGGAAGGGACCTCAAAGATCATCTAGTTCCAACCCCCCTGCCTTCTATCGAAATCACTCGCATAAATATTATGTATTATCAGAAACACAAGGCGGGTCAAAATAAGCCCCTTACATGGTTTCCCTTTAACAGCCATGAAGTCTCTGCCCTAAGGATATTGTGCAGTAATTCAATATGCAGGAGCGCCCCGCGCTCCATGCAAA